TGCTACTGAAAGCTGGTGTTGAAGATATTTCAGGAAGAATGCTAATGAGAAGTATTAAAGGTGATTTCAGCCGGTATTTTTCCATTCAACCCAAAAAAGTATTTTTAGCCAAGAAAAATCAAGCTCTTCTCTTAGAAGAAGTCCCACATAGAGTCCTGCACGTAATTGCTTACGCGAGCTGATACCAAACTGTCAAAACCAAGTCAGACTGAGTTAAGTTTTGACTTAAACTGATAATTGTACAAAACCCAGGCTAGAACACACCAGGCGAGCCGGTGCGATCATGCGTTTTTGCATCAAACTTTGAAGTACCGTCTCTCACAGAGGGGGAATAGGGAAGAAAGAAGGGGGTTCCACATTATGCCACCATTCAGCTGAAGATGGGGTTTGATCATTTGTGCGAGTCGACGAATTAACGGCCCAGCACTACCCCGCACATTGACCAGGACAAATTCAACCTCATAGCTTTCGCAATTCTGGAATTGAGGTGAACTAGTACACCCCTCATTTTCAACTACCGTTGCATTTCGCTGTTCCTCTCTCCTCTTCCTCCTCACCCTTCCACCCAGGCCAGGATACCATTGACGTGAGCTTGACCACCTCCGCGCCTCTCCCCCACCTAATTCACTGCCATTAGCACACAACGTGAATTCAAATTTGCCGCCTGTCGTAACTGATCGTAGCCGTACCCCAACGGGCCGCGCCGCGTTTGTATCGTCGATTTGAAGTACATCTCACTTATTCCTTGCGCGTATCTTTTGAGAGGCTGTGCATAGTATGGGCGGGAGCAGTGTGTGGTGGTGTGGGGCGTCTGTGTGTGGTAGAGGGCGCCGTACATGTAGAAGAGACTGCGCATGGTTTGAATGGGGACTGCGTGTGGTGTGCACACCAGTTGCAATTGGTGTGTACGTCGGCTGCGTGTGGGTGTGTTGGGCAAGATTGATACCACACACAATCAATTCATTGTACTTTCATTTGGCGGCTGCACCGTATTTCATTTTGCTAACAAATTCACCTGGAAAAGAGGATCTGAGGGAGCTCTGGATTTACGTGAGAAAAACGTGTGTTGTTTTACTACAAACGTGTTATTGTACATTCGTATTCCTGTAGGCCTTTAGAAGGTAAACACAAAGAATCTTTTTGAAAAGCTGCTGTTAGGCCCGATATTCAACGTGATGAAAGAGGGAACCATCGCTAACTCGCAGATCACTATTAGCACCCCACGCTGTAGCCTAACACTTAGGCTCATATTGGCCATGCTTTGGCCCCTTCCGGCATGCCGGAGGAAGGGCGTCGATTGGGAGTGAAGGTGGTACATTATAGACCCGCACGGACATCCTGGTGCATGATTGCCTGTTTTTTACACGAAGTCCGGTCGTTTTTCCGGTAAGTGCTCGCTTTGTGAAAAAATGAAAAATGCAAATTTTTGAAAAAATGCAAACTTCCAGTTCACTAAAAAGTGGAAGTACTGCTCGAGCGGTCGTTTGTCAAAAAATCCAAGTGTGCAAATGAACTATTGTTCACTTACACATTTTGGGAAGGCGGTTGTTCGCTCCAAAACGCGCCCGTTTTTGATTTTTCGGTAAAGTTAAGTGTTTCTCACGCCTGTCTGCAGAGAATTCCACCTGCAAGCAGAATTAACATCGCACTTGAAAGTAGAATATCAAACATCCTGACAAAGTTTCAGTCACTCTTTTCCAGCAAGTTTTGGAGTTAGCATAGTAGCAAGTCGCAAACTCTGACGTCTCCGTACGCGCTTCACAAGCGTGCTCGACAGCTGAATTTAAAATCTTTAGCTCGCTCGTCATAGGGAATATCTCTACAAAGTTTCAGCTTTGTACCTTGTCTGGTTCGCGAAATCGTTTCCCGCAAAGAAATTTGCATATTTTGGGGGGTGAGGTATACGCGGAGTCTAGACGCGTCTGGGGGAATATCTTGAAACGGGAGGATGACACACGGGGTAGGAACACATACCTAAAGTTTCAGCTTCCCAGCCTTTCTGGTTGCTGAGACGAAAGTAAGTGACAAAATGTGCTCGCTTCTGAACACA